CACAAAATCAGTTTTGGCAGAAAAAAAAAAAAAAAGAAAAAAAAGAAACAGCAAATTAACATGCTGTTGATATTAACATCTTCCAAATCCAAATTGGCTTTGAAATATCCATCTTTGTATTAGCTGATGTGTGCCTGACTTCTATTGTAAGAAATGTGGAAAATATCATCAAAATTCTTCCTCCCTAAACAGAGGAAACTGGGATCAGACGAAGTGATGTTGTTAACTGGTATCTCAACACAATTGAGAAAGACATTGACACTGAAGAGGAGTTGGCTGAAAAGAAAGTCATTCTTGATAAGGTTCTGGACAGGCTGATCTCATCTGTGAGTAGAAATTGCCTTCAAATGATAATCTTTTTTTTTTTAATGAATTTGAGAAAAAAAATATGTATACTGTAGTCACTAATGTTTCATTAATTGCTCTGGTGTCATTCAGAACATTCAAACTGTGTACATTGAAGTGTTGAAAGAACATCCTAGTTTAAGAAAATGGAAGCTCTTACAGATCGAGGCTTTTTCATTCTCAAAAAATTTCTAGAGATTTCTATAAATGATTATCATCTTTTTGAAATTTTTTTACTTGTGACTCAGCAGAATTTAAAAATAGTTAGCACAGTGATGTCCCAAATATAGGCATTATACAACAGTTGATATGTCTGATGCAAGATCATGTGAATTGATGCCTCAAGGCTTATCTGCACAAGTGGACAAAACTGGAATCTTCTTGGACCAATTTTGATGGCAAAACATGTGCACTTGTGAAGTGTTGATGACAGAAAATGTGTTCATTTTCTAGTGTGGACTGACTCTTAGAGTTGAATGCAAATTGAAACTAATGGGTCTTTCCATTTAATTGTGTAAGGCAACCTGATGTGAACTCTACCTCAATCTTTGATGTAATTTAGGTAGAGAAAAGCATGATTCAAATGGGTGACAGATTTTCCAACGAGAGGAAATGGACTGAAAAAGAAAAATAGTTACCAGAGACAGAAGAGGGAGTGCTAGAATTTTCTGCTTACAGAAAAGGGTACCAAGAGATGATTTTTATCATAATCGGAACAATTTGGTCATCAATAAGTCCAATTCTTAAATCTTTGCCACTCAGCAAAAGAAAAAAGAAGTTATTAAGCCTTTGCTCTGCTTAAAACAAAATCATAAGTTTAGTGTATAAAGGCATAAGGAAAAAAAATTAACCATACAATTTTCTGCCGATTTCAATCTTGAACCCTGGCACATCATCTACATGCTTTCAACAAGTCAAGAATTGATGTTAGAAGGACGCATTGATTTATACAAAGTTAACTTCTTCCTTTCAGGACAATGTTATTTTAGCACTAAAAGAGTGGGGAACATCTCAAGAAGACTATGCGCCATCTGAAGAAGATGATCCATTTCTTGTCGTCCATCCAAATGTTGTTGTTGATGACCTGTAAAACTTCATAGTTAAATTATTTTCCATTAGTACTGTATATATAAACTGCGTTTCTTATTGGTTGATATAATTTGCTTCTTTTCCCTTATTGTTGGTGTGGCTCATGTTAAAAGCCTGTATTGTGAGTACACAGTTAAGCATTAGAAAGTTTTTTTCATATGGGGTAGTAGCAAGTATTTGTCTGAAAGAAAGCATAATGCAGTGTGCAAGAGAATGTCATTTGATCCATTTGTATATTTTTCTATTAAACTCCCTTGCTGTCTTTTAAAAAGATTTTGTGCATCGCATTGATTTGTATACCTGAGCAAACATTAAAGCACTATTTCTGTATGTTTGGGTGTTTTCCATTCTAAAGTTTGATTTCGCCCTCCAGTATTGAATGAAAATAAAGGGTCAAGGTTTAAGATTTCAAAATCCATATCTGCAAGTCACTTAACACTAATCAATGCACAGAATTTTGCTGTGACATGGATAAATCATGTACTCCTTAAAAAGGTGTAACCCATTGTTCCAGTTTCCTCAAAATTAATACTTGCTTTCTGCATTACATTAAAAAATAGTTTATTGACGCTACTACCATCATCATCACACAGTCAGCCATGCATGTTTCTTCCTGTTCTTATTTTTAATCTCAGCATGAGGTCCTTACTCGTTAAGCCCTTGTTATTTGTAAAGTGGATAATGCTATTCACAGGATAAATTGCTATCCGGCGGATAGCAGAGTGTGTTTTGTTAATGCTTGTCCCCTGGATAGTGTTTTATCCATGGTTGGTATCATCTACCCTTTGAACAACCGAACCCAGTATGATGAGCTCCTTGGCACTAATTCAAGCATGAATAACTCCCATGGGTGACAAAGAAAGAATTTGTCCTGAAAATATAAATACAATCTCGCGTAGACAAGTTATAAAAAAAGAACATTATCAAAGAATTCTTAGTTGATCTAATACCAAATTCTTCTGACTAACATTACAAGAATTGTATGGTGGACAGTGAAGAGAATTACCATTGAAATCTTGGGAGTTAAAGGTTTTTGAAAAGTTCCTTCTTACGCTAAGTTATGTTGGCCTACTCAAGTTCATCGTTCACAATCTTCATTGTTTTTCCTTCTTGGTCTTCAATGACATCTTTGTTCTTTCTCCAGCCTAACAATACATTTTATAGAATATAATAAAGTAGCTTTGTCCAACATGAACATGATATTGACTGATGCAAAGGTTTTTAATGTAAGTTATTATAATATCAAGACCATCTCAATTAAAAGAACACATCTTTGACATGGCAATGAGTTCAAGAATTCTCTTCAAATGAGTTAAATTTTATATGGACATTACTACTCTTCCTCTGCCCTACACAAACACCAAGGCCTGCCTTTGCATCAAGTTTAAGAATCCTTCTTAAGTCTGTTGTTCATGAATGCATATATTATGCACCAAACAATTCCCTTTTGTTGCAGCATCCATAATTGTTACTCCTCAAAGTCCAGGTGTTCCTGTTTAGTTGCAAAGAGTGTGTATCCATCTACAACGAGTTAAGGATATCAGCAAAGTTAATTTGTTTGGTAGAAACCAGTAAATACCTGAATTATTAAGGCATGAAAATGTGTTCTCTGTAAATGTGACTAACATGTAACTTGAGATTAGATAATAGGTTTTGAGAGCAGACACGCTTATCACGTGGGGGTACTGTCCTCATAACACCAAAATATCTGTCTAATTTACAAAGGAACGTTTGACATCTAGTAGGGACTATTGCTAGTTGGACCTTGGCCTAGAAAATGCTGTAAGGATCCACTGTTGTAAACTTAAAAAAATTAACCCACTCGACAAAAGAAACGAAAAAAAAAAACTGATGTTTATTGTTTCTTGAGGAAGCAGATTTTCCTGATGCATTGAGAATTGAAAAAGAAGAGAGTTGTGGTTCTAAAGGCTGTGGTAAAATAGCAAGAATCTGTAATAATACTTTTAAAACAACATCTATTGAAAAAAAACACATCCTGTGTCCAAGACATACAGATTTTCCTGTGGCAGTCACAACGGTAAAGTGAATGACATTTTATTAATTGGGGTGGTCAAGTAGTCATAAGCACCAGTAATAATACTTTTAAAACCACACCACTTTAAAAAACCACGTGTTGAAGGCAAAGAAATTTTCCTGTTACTGAGACAATGTAAGAGGAATAAAGTTGTGAGAGGGTTCCTATAGCCAGATGTAACTGCATTAATGCTATTGAAACCACATCCGCATCTAAGACAGACAATGTGAAAGGAATGATATTCCTGTCCAAAAGTGGTAAAAAGGCAAGATTCAACAGAACTTTAGCAATACTTAAGCAACAAATCAGCTTGAAAAAAGCAAGAATTTACATTTATCTCTAGCTCTGAATCATAAATATTGATACAACAACCACACAGCCAAGCATTCCCTATAGGCATTTAGCATTGATAACATATGGTAATTTATTAAAAAAAATTGTTTTCCTAAAACTTATTTTAAAACAAAGATGAAATCAATTTGAGTCATCTCATGTGTGGACTGTAATGGAATTAACCCTTATACTCTCAAAATCTGATCATTAATTCTCCCCTCTAGCTGCTACACATTTCTTTGTAAACTAGTTACAAGAATTTGGTGTTTAATCAAGATACCTGATAAGTTTACTGGATAATATATGGATATATAAAAGCGAGAAGTTTCATGTTAACCATTTCTGGGAGTTAAAAAGGGTTAAGAATGATGAATCCTTCTAGCAAAAACATGTGTACAGACAAACTTAACTGAAAAGCACTACCTAACAAGTCAGCCTGAGGTCAAAATACTTGTAACAAACAGAGTACTTTCACATAACACATGAAAAGAATGCCTTTGTTATTATAATACTGTTAATGATTAACTCTAACAAACAATTCTAGAATGAAAAAAAGGAGTTAAACAATTTAATTGTTTTCTACAGTATCTGCCAATGAGCTGTTTCCATGTGTTATTAGATTTCAGGAGGGTTCGAGATGGGAGCAAGTAAACATTGACAGTTACTTAATTAGAAACACCCAACTGCCTTATGCATTATGAACACCCTGTTTGATTGATGCTAAAATCTTAACAGTGGTTCCATTGATCAAAAACATTAAATAACAAGCTATCCACACAAAAGAAAGAATGGCAGACACTGAGAACTTTTTTCCGGCTCTATGCTGTTCCAGTTGGGTGAGCAGACATGTGTCAAAAATATCGTTTATTACCCCGCTACATTCACAGACCTCTTGTGAGTGCAGTCATTAAGACATCAAAGGTTCAAACAGGCATCAGCGTTCAAACAAATATCTGTCGAGGTGATCTATGAACCGTGTCTCAATTTCAATGAGAAAAATTCGCTTCGGGCGTGCAAAATGTGAGGGAATTTTTGGACTTTTCCGTGACAAGCGGCATGACTACGTTTCGTGCGACGAGGAGACGGAACCTACTGTCTGAATTGATTGTCGGGGAAGAAGGAAAGCTACCACCACATGCTTTATGCACGAATGATTACAAATACCGCTTTGAAAACTACAGTTCAATATAACAACTCTTCACTTGCGTCAATACGTCTATTGTGAGCAAAGCCGGGGTACCTACGACGGTGAAGCCAATGTAAGAGTTATACAGATATCGGCTTTATGATTGGCTTTAATGCACGTGAGGTAAATATCACCTTGCTGTCTTTACATGTAAGGTATAAAATGAAGATATATCGGCACACGAGTGTTTATGCAAGCACGAAAGGCGATGATTGAATTTCGGTCTTTGTGAAGATTTTCTAAGTTCACACACAATAAAAAAGATGGCTATAGCTATATCAGTAATCATGCTCTCTTGCTGCCAAAAATCGCTGCTGTATGTTAGCAGATAAAAATTTTATCTGCTAACATTATAGATGCAATAGTCTTAGTGGTGGCCTGCAAAAGGATACAAATGGCTGCAACAGAAGTTAAAAGACCTCCGAATACCATCATATTTCTTCTCCTGATCTGTGCGAAGTACTTCTTTTGCATGAACTGTCTATTCCAAATTTCTATTTGTCTCTTCTCAGCTTCTGTAAACCGTTGTTCTCCTTTGTCCGCCATCTTGTACAATTTTTTGTTAAGACGTTATTCCGCTGGCCGCTTTAGAATACAGTGGGCCTAGAAAGTCTCGACATCAAGACGAGAGGCACTTGCGTGATGGGTGCCTGGAAGTGCGTCACATTGACGTCAATAAAATATGAACCAATCAATATTTGGATCGTATCTGGCGAACGCGAACTTTCGCCACTGTTCATTGGTTATTTTTATTGTTCTTATTTTTTTCCATAGTCTGACATCATCTATTCAAAAATAGTTTGTTCCACTATAAAAAAAGAGTGACTCAGCTCTTTCCGACAAAGGATCACGAGATATCAAACTTATGTGAGTGTGGCAGTGGTATTCTAAAGTTGAAAGTTTCCCTCCCTCAACACATTACGTAAATCCATCGTTAACTGAAAGAATTTATTCGATTGCTTGAGGAACTTTAGTCGAACATACGATCATTAGAGGCGGACAAAGAGGTTCGAGAAAGCAACTTTGACAAACTTTAGTGATTTACTCAATCTTTACCTTCTGTTGAAAGAATCATGGTAGTTGGAAAAAAATACCTCGATGGCACAACATTTGTGCAACTTGCTATGGCCTTGTCTCTGATGAGACCCGAACTTCAAGGATTCGTCGGCCAGAACACAACTCCGCCGATGCCTGTGAACATTGGATACCCACAGAATTTCACTGGTGTTGTTCCGTACAATCACGTTCCAAGCACCACCAACTTCAACTTCAACCTAGCACCTAAAGAAGCGAATGTCCAGCATCCCCTAAATGAGTTTCTCGATTGGCACACTAGTGGCAACAATCAGTTTGATACAGATGCAGTTGCCATGCTTTTCAACGGGGAAAGCCATACCGCCCCAAGAGAGACAAGAGCCTCGTTTAGTACCGAGTTAGAGAGCGGTTACAGCTCCGATGGCGGTCGTTCTCCTTCAGCTATTTCTTCTGTCGGTGGCTCACCACAACACGAAGCCAGTTATACAAACACACAGGCCCCTGAAGCAGACAACTTCGGTGCCGCTGGCTACACTCCGACCGAAGAAGACTATTTGAAGTCTATCGCGATCGACTTCCAACTAGAAGATTATATCGACCTCGACGCCATCTATGGGGAACCACCTCAGAAGAAAGCAGCGTTTTTGTCAGAAGAACTGCCCTATACAAACATTAAAACCGAGCCATTGCCGAGCCCCGATGACTCTTACAGAAAGTTCCCGAACTCTCCGCAAGAGTTTCACTCGCCCTCCGACCCCAATCGAAAGAACCCTTTTGAGGAAACCTTCAACTTCGAGGAACAGTTCTTCAACGCGGACCCGTTTTCAATTGATTTTGCGCCAACAGAAGAAGAACTGCAAGAAGTGGGACCAAATACAGACCCTGTGTTTGACCTGGACTCGTTTGCAGTCAATCTAGATGAACTTCCCCTCGATATATTCGACCCGAAACCAGCGGGGCAACAAGCGGTCGAAAATAAACATGATAGCCTGCTTCCTCTTGGTCAAGAACCGGTGCCAGTATTTTCAGAGGCCACCGCCACGAGAGATGACAGCGGATTTCCTTCAACTGGTACGTTTTTCCTTTAGATATTAAGTTACCAGCTAAAGTGCTTATCACACGGGTAATATTCACATACACCGCATAATTTCACGAGCGCAAGTTCCTTAGAGTTGCACAGAATTCCGTTTTCGGTTTTGTGACTGTTAATTTGAATTACAAATGTATTTCCTTGAGCCTCCTTAATTGATTATCATGGTTTGTTCGTGACTAGAGTTTATAAATATTTGTCTCCTTTCCCTGGAAACAGTTTCTGTTTTGTTTGTTAAATATTAATTTTGGAGCCCAATTTTGTGATTAATACCAGTTGAATTAATCAATAGGTTGTTGTAAAAAAAACCACCAATATCGAGCTTCCAGTTTCCTTTCAGCTGTCGCTCACGCTTCACCAAATTATCTTCCCGTACGTCATAGGTGACTATTGTATTGTAAATTTGAGAGCTTGCAATGCCCTCTTTTGAAAAGGAAATTAAAGTTCTAGTTCAGTCTGCAGGGGCCTTTGAACAGGGTGTGACCTAAAATATTTTTTATGTTGGGCCAGCAAATGTCAATAGTAGCATGTATTACTGTTTTATTAGTATTTTAATGATTTGCTTTTTGTCTTGTCTTCAGAATCCCTGCTTCCTCAAACTACCAGAGACTGGCAGAGTCATTCTTTTCCACCCTTAACCAGTGCAAACATCAAACAAGAAAAACCTGAGATTGTGAGTGTTCCAAGTGTGCCATGCCCAGCAAGTACATCTACCAGGTTTACACCTTCAACTGCTCCTAAGGATTTTGGTGGGGCATGCCCAGCTATCGCAGCAGCAGGGGCATCACGCTTCCCAGCATCAGAAGATGAAATAGTTGACATGAGTATTAGTGAATTCAGCAACTTTTTGGAAACACTTTCAGAGCCTGATGCACAGAAGGCCAGGGACATCCGTAGAAGAGGAAAGAACAAGGTTGCCGCCCGTTTGTGTCGTAAAAGAAAGATTGATGTTGTCAGTGACATAGAAGAAGACATTGAAAGTCTGAGAAAGAAGAAAGAGGAAATCATCAAACAAAGGCAAAAACTCTTAGCTGAAAATGCTTATTACAAGAAGAAAGTCAATGAACTGCAGGACCACCTGTTTCAAAGTTTACGAGATGAAAGTGGCCGTCCTCTTTCATCAAAAGAATATACCATTTTCCAAGGGGCTAATGGTAGCATCTTTGTAGGGAAAAATATAGACAGTGAATCTAAGAAGAAGCAAAACAGCCACAGTAGTGACTAAGTACTAGTTAGAGTTTTGTTAGGTAAGAATTTTGAATATAGTGTCAGGCCTTGCAGGTCAGAGAACTGAAGATGCAGATTTCAAAACATCTTCTGAAGAGACAATGTGAAAATTGAGGAATGGTTAATATTGCAGTAAGCTGCACATTGGAACTGTAGGTAACTTGTCTTGGTGATGCCTCAACTAGAACTCTGTAGCCAGTTGGTGTTTTATTTCAAGAATGCAAAGAAGTTTAGGTTTGTTGGTACCCTTAACAATGTGTAGTAGGCATGTGTGAAGTATCAGGATATTATTCCCATCTGCTTCTGGTGTTTGAAAGACACAGCACCTCTGACCTCTTAGTTGCGAAAAGAGTTTCACTAATATTTTGGAAGCAACATGTGCAAACTTAGAGTGTTTTAAGAGGTGATGAAGAAATTTTATTTATTTGGTTTATAGACATTTTCAAGTCTTATTTTGTTCAGTGCGTTGAAACAATCACCTTTTCAGAATCCATACGGAAATGTCCACATTATGATACTTTTAAGTTAGGCAACTTAAAAATGTTTCAGTTTTTCAATTATTTCCAACAGATTAGGGGGAAAAAAAAACTTACTTATTATGTCGGCTTAACATCGTTCATTAATTTTTAATTATATACACAACATTCTCCCTTCGAATATTGTTGCTAGGAATTTACTTTCTGTGAGATCTTTCTTATGTTAAGAACAAAAGGTTTTTTTTCGTACAGGTTGAATAATGTAAATATTGTAAATAGTGTATTAAAATGTTTCTCAGACATTCTTGTTTAGCTCCAAAGTTCCACATTAGTATAAATAAAACACAAATGTAATTTTATAAGTACTATTACGTACCTTTCCACTGATACTGGAGAAAAGAATGACTTGAGAAATGATTATTAAAAAAAATTGGAACAGGACAGGATGTGTTTTCCTTTTTTCAGCTGTAGAATTGCACAAGATGGTAACTCATTTTCAGTGTTTTAATTCCCAAGAGTGACTAGCCTCCTATCATCATTTTGGTGTGCCACTTTTAACCATGACAACAAATCTGTAACACCAGAGGCTGTCTCTTCTTCCCAGATAATCGCATCCTATCAGTTCTTATAACAACCAAAGTAAAGCGTGCGCTCTGATTGGTCAATTTAGCGTCCCCCATTTGCCCATGGGTGTACGCTGCTGACGTGAGCAAATGCAAAGACTATTTTTCCGCGCGTGCTTGTTTTTTCTGGTCACGTAAGATTTATTAAATAAAAGGGAACTCTTTAGCTACAATGTATCAATGTTATGATAMAAAACAAATGGTAAACACCACAGCGAACACTATTGAGTTATGGATGCACTTGGGAGGTTTGCTAAGCACTCGAGAAGCTAGAGTCGCTCTCGGCTATCGCCTGGAGCGACTTTTACGCTTCTTTCGTGCTTAGCAACCTCCCGCGTGCATCCATAACTCAATAGTGTACGCTGTGATGTTTACCATTTGTTAAAATGTAACCAACAAAAACTTGAGACTCAGGCCCAAGAAAACTGGGAGGATTATCGCAAAAATTCTCAGGCTGCTTCGTATTTCTCATTGGAGACATTAGTTCTAATGATTAAGATAACTAGCCTTCAATACTATAATTAGCAAAAAATAATTTATCATTTATCAATCAACAAGAGGACATAAAGATTTTCTCTGCTGAGCTGCATTTCCCATATCAGTGAGATTGTTTTATATTACCCTGTGAATCTACACACAACATATATTTATTTAGCAAATATTTTGGCCAAGCTCTTGAAGATGGTGGTGGGCCCATAATGGCTTCAATTTGGTCCTTAATTCAAAACTATAAAAAATTCTTACATCCAATTGGTTATCACTGGCCTGATTTGAGCACTAAGAGGACAGAGTATGCATCATGCTTGCAATTGGACAGTGTAATTGGACAATAAATGGATCATGCCTGTGTAATTGGACAGTATGCATCAAACAAAAATGTCTACCAAATAGCTAGTTGGTTTCTCATGTTTTGTCATGATAGCTTTGATTATATGATAACAAAACTTCATGTCATCCTGTTCCATCTGGAAAGATACTTGCAATTTAATAAATCAGACTCCCCCTTTGGGGTCATGTGATTTTGTTAATCACTTGACATATGGTTACAGACTGGGTTGAACTCCACTCATTCCTACAACTAATTATTACTAATCATACAGCGGAGTGGTTGAAAAAACCAGAGGATTGTGAAGCAGGAGTCTGATTGGACAATCACAAGTATTATTACAGCCTGAATTGCTCTACTGATGACCAATCACATTTGAGAATTTTGTCACAGTTTTGATCGATGATGTAGAAGAATGGAAAAGTTCAAACTAGTAAAAATTGATAACATAATCGGAGGGCTGTGAAGCAGGAGTCTAATTAGATAATCACGAGTATGATTACAGCCTAAATTGCACTACTGACGACCAATCACTTTGGGAATAATGTCAAAGTTTTGATTAACGAGGTAGAAGAATGGTTAAGCTAAAACTAGTAAAAAGAATACAATGTGTGGAAAAATTGCCTAACTTTCATTTGATTCTTTGCATTACAAAAATAAAAAATCCATAGTGCTTGAAAGGTGAATGCTGATGTGTAAAATGCCTCAAAGGCAATGTAACTTAAACCATAAAACCAACAAAACCAGATCCTTAGCTTTTAGCTCGAGTATCAATATTACAAGGTATAATAATTTCAATAAGTTTTGAGTAATTAAATTTTTTTTTCTAAGCTGCTTTAAAGTGGCATAACAATTTGGGCAGTTTTTTTTCCAGCTAGTCTTTCTGGTTGGACAAACTATTACAATTATTCTTGTTCTGGGAATCTGCAGCAATTTCGTACTAATCATTGTTACAAGCAGGAATACTTGAATACTCAATTCCTAGGCCGGAGGGATATTTTGAGATATGATACTTTTTTAAGGAAAATTATGTTTGAACCAAACACTGCAAGAAAGATTGGTGAGGGCATCCTGCGCACTGGTCACACAGAAAGGAAGAGTTATAACTGTTTCTGCCAACAAAATCTCTTCTTGTGTATTACAAATTGCTCTCCACTTTCTTAAACCAGTGATCATGAAAGTTTAAATAATTATTTTCTTTTTCTTTAAAACTGTGTTCATACATGCCAGCAACTGCTCAGCGATTTCTATTTCCCTTGTCTTGCTTGTGACATCCCTCCATCAATTAAGTCTGTCGATTGTTCACACAATATCCACCAGAAATCTACATAACAAAACTCCTACAGCTGAAACAACACTTTAAACCATTTTTGACCATTCTGTCAATGGCTTCACCATAATTCCAGCAAAGGTTCAGCATGCCAGCAAAATGATGTTTTGATCCTGACTTGTCTCTTTCTCTCTCTCTCCACCTCATACAACCTCAACAACTCCTTTTCCAGGAAGACAACTCTGTTCAAATATTCCTTCAAGTGAGGACCCCTGCAATTTGCCTGATAATCACTCACATCCACATTGTGAGTATCTTACTATGAATTCATGGCCTTGTTCTGGTAATTTCCTGGTTTTATTTTAAAACAAGTTGATATGTATTATCATCATCTGGAAACAAAAAGCAAAGAATGAGATTGTTTTCAAGAATGGCTTCAGAAAATTACCGGAAGAAAGAGAAGGCTGAAGAATTAATACATTGTGTATTGTGGTAAGAGCACATGTTCAATTCCTTATTAAATTTAAGACCTTACCTCTGACTAGTTGTACAATAAAATGTCCTTCATCCACAAAATTCCTGACCATCTAAAACAGCAAAAAAAAAATTCAATCTATTCTTTCAGTCTTGTCGCCCACATGGAAAAAAAGAAAAACCCCAGACCTTTAGATTCCACCCTCCACAAGCTTCCATTAATTAATCTTTCTATTCAAACACATTCAATTCAAACAAGGCTTGAGGCAAAAATGTATTTGACATGTCCAGTTCTCAACTATGACTGGTCTAATGCACAGAATAGGTTTACAACAAAGGAAAGGGTGTGCAGGATAAAACTCTGACATACTTCTGATAAAACATGCACTTCTCCTCCTGTTTCATTAGGGAATATAATATGGGACAATTTTGACGAAGAATTTAGAAGTCTATTATGAAGTCTCTTTGGTGGTTTTCTCTAAGCACCGCCTAAATAGGGAGGGTTGAGATAAAGTTTAACTGTTGGTTCTTGTGTTGATTCTTACCTCATCGTCAATTAATACATAAATTCCTGTTGGCCCTTGTCTATGAAAAAAAAAAAGATAATCACAATTACTCAACTTTGGAATGTCATAATTAAAAAATCTGTACATTGTAACATCCAGTTTCTTCTTACAAAATAAAGTCCTGGCCCCGGTTGTTCGAAGGATGGATAACGCCATACACTGGATAAATCTCTATCCGGTGGATAGCGCAGTACGTTTTGTTTACACTTATCCGCTGGATAGCAATTTATCTGCTGGATAGCGTTATCTGCCCTTTGAAGAACCGGAGCCAGAAGATTTGTCTAATATCTTGGGAGGCATTTCTTTTAAATAAAACAATTATTCCACTCGCGCTTGTTGGATATGAGATGATTATAGCCAACTCGGCGCTACGCGCCTTGTTGACTATCTATTACCTCATATCCAATGCGTGCTCATGGAATAATTGTTAATTATCCACCTATAAATTAGAGTCACTACATGATCATCACACGACATAAAATGCAGGATTTCATTTCTGCTAAATTACCTGTATAAAGCAACAATCTGCTCAGCATTTAGGTTACATTTTAACGCAAGTTTCTTTCTTAATTCACTGAGACTAAGAACTTCCAGAAACATAGCATAGTATTCTTTCATCCCCGAGTTCTGTTGGGCTGATTCCAGGCAAATGTACATTGTTAGAAGTGGACGAGCAGCCCTAGAAAAAAAAAAGAAAAACTATTAATTTAATCTGAAGGAGTATGCCCTGGACATCATGTGTTTAGTTTCTTCCCCTTTAAGAAGTAAATGTGAAATTATGTCATTGACCTTTTATGAGATTCAAAAGAGAAACCTCTTGGTATCGTAGCATGTAGCAGGAAGTAAACCATGAAGACAAAAATATCATTACTAATGGTTTCTTGTGCATACTTCTCCTTTAACAACATGGTTTCTCATTAACCAAAACAAAATAATTCTGCAATGATTTGTATGCCAGGAAACCATCACAATCACCTTGCTTGAAGCGAGTTATACAAGCGTATACCATCAGCAGGCCCCATGATTTGGACCATGTCTTGTTTGGTTAATCTAAGAAGATCACCACCTTAAGAGAAAAAGCAACCAGTATTGTTGCAATGCATTACTCAACAGTTAAAGAAATGATCCTTGCAGGTAAGTTGCAACTAAAGAAATTTGCCTTAAGCAAAGTTTTCTAACCCCACTAAGGGTTTTAAACTTTTTCCATAAGCAGCTGTTGATAGTGCAGTAGGAAGCTGTGCTGTAGAGAGGTTCTCTAGGTGGCAGCACTAAAAGCAAGTAATCAGTTGTTAGGGAGTTAGGGAAAACCAGCAAAGCAACTGGAAAATCACTAGACTAAAGGTATATGAGCACAACAATGGCTGTGCACAAGTTTTAAATGTTTGTAGATTTCTTTGCATCCTCTGCAAAACCACAACAAGAAATGACCAAACTTTGCTTTGTTTGGAGAACATGAACAATAATAGCGAATTTTTTTAAATTTCGATTTCTAATTTAGCACTGTCTTTAGAGTATCGCGAGATTTGTAGGTAAAATATGAGTTCATTTTTTAGCTACAGTTGCTCATGGCTTTGCCGTCATCATTACCTACACTCTCTACTCTTGAGACCCCTGCTGCAGTAAAAATGAAATTATTCTCTAGTGCATCCTTCAAGCTACAGCTTCATTCTGTTACTGACCTGTGTAGTTGGCAAACAAGTTTAGGTAGTTTTGAAATCTGTTATTTTGTAACCAGAGTCTAGTTTCATCGACAGAAGACTCTGATGTCAATCCCTGAAAGATGCAATTATCATAACAGATTACACTAATTGATATTCAGTACTAGATGGTTTATCTACCTCTGACACAAGCAATCTTGATATTGCACTGGCGGCTACTTTGTAAATTGTGATCAAAGAGAGGAAACAAATATCTTTTAACTTATTCTAACATCAATGTCTGGCTACAATAAATTACCAGATTCAGATATTATCTGAGAATGCTGGAAATCAAATCTAAGAGAGTTTCAAATTTCAAATTCTTCACCAACCACACACACCCATCCCAAGAGTCAAAGGGCACCCTTTTACTTCTATTGACTTCCTTGTTTTAATGATCACACTCATAAAGTGAGTTACGCAATAAATGGAAATGTTGTTACCTACCATTCCACATGTTGTGGAGGGTGAATTGGACAGCCCACTACTAGATGGTGACATCTGTAGGGCTGGAGGTGGTGAAGACATTACTGATGAGGGTGACGACAGGGTTGTTGCCATGACCTGGCCTGCTGGAGATGGAGAAGACATGGAGCCAGCAACTGACCTATACAGGAAAACAATCATTACTGACCAATCATTAGCAACAACTAAAAATTTTACATGCAAATTAACAACTAGTTGATTAAATGCACCTTATCCTCTGTAGTAAGTTAAAAAAAAAATATTCAGAATAAACATATTAGATGCCAGTTTCCAATTAGAAATAAATTGGGGAATTTTTTTTTTTTTTTTGTCAGCTCTCAGACCCTTCAATAACAGATGTGATTGAATGCCACCGACTAAGTGCTCTTAGAGTTTAAAAGCAATATACAGAAAAACAAAGAAAAAGTCTTTCATTACCCTGGAGACATCCAGCAAGAATTGTTGTCCTCCTCTATAATCAGTGGAAGCTGAAAACAGGTGAGAGAGATACCTTCAGTGGGAAATGTTTGAAAGCACTGGGTACAAATCATCTCAAAGGAATCACTAGTCTGAAAGCAGTGAGTGGATAAACTACTGAGTGATCTTCATGATCTTCAAATCCTTAGAAAAGAATAATAAATTATGATAATTATTTCAACAGGCTTGACCTACTTCTGTTAGTTCTGTGAAAGCACTTATGGGTCTCAACTGATCCTGGAAACAAACATTCATTCATGAATTAAAAAACTTTGGAAAAATGTTTTTACAGAAGTGACTAGGGATGGTTAAGAATTGATCGGTCAACTTTGTTTACACCCACCAGATGTCATTAACACTCAGACTAATTACTCTGACTTTCTAAATTGCATGGTTACCACTCCCCCTCTTCCCTTAGGCTGAGGGAGTTTGGATGCTAAAGGAGCTTGCATAAGAAAGAGGGAGGGGGTGGGGGAGGTTACAAGAAACACACTGAGAGTCACAAAGCAGATAATGATTTTCTTCTGAACTGGTTTCCAACTTTAATCAATATCATTCACAGTGGACATTTCACCTTCTAATATTCAAAACAGAAAGAGGAATGTACAGGCTTTCATATGTGGTATATCTTGAAATCATATGCTACTTACACCAACAAAGAGTAGTCTTAGCACACTCTTCTCCTTATTTGATTTTTTTCTTTAACTTCCCCTCTTCTCCTCCATTTCCAATGTTGCCTAGTGTCAACAGAGTGCTTACTAATTTCAGGCAACATTCTTTGAAAGGAAAGGGGGAACTTTAACTGTCAGTCTTACCAAATCTTCCTTATTTTTAAGTTCCAGTTTCTGCATTTCAACTTTCAGCTTTCTATCAGCACCTTTGGACTGAACAAAAGGATCACAGACACTATATTAATCATGCCCAGTACATCTAGCAATTTTCTATAATTCAACACAGAAACTGGGAGGGCTTGGGATACAGAAATCTGAGACCTTCTAAAGGTTGTCGATGATAGCAAGCATCACTGAAGGCTCATGGAAATTGGACAAAGTAGTCGAGACTCACTTTGAACACCTTGACTTGGCAACCCGCACTGTGGATGGGAAGAGCGTCAGTCAATGAATTGGGAGAGAACGAGTCTACTTGTAATCTGAATGGGACACCACTTTCTCCACCTGTGAAAAAACGGTGACTTTTGTTAAATGCAAAGTATGCTTGAGAAATGCTTCAGAAATAATCTGAAACATGTAACAATTTTTATAGAAACTACAATAATTTCTCAATGCTGAAAAAAACATTTTTATTGCTACACTCACCACTCTTTCCCTTGGTAAACTCTGAGCTGACACAGTTGATCTGAACAAAAAGGAGGGAAAAAGAGTTTTTTGAGTTACATGCAGCGGTAGTGTCACGCAGCAGTAGTGTTATGTAGAGGTAGTGTCATGCAGAGGTAGTGTCACGCAGCAGTAGTGTCATGCAGCAGTAGTGTCATGCAGCGGCAGTGTCACACAGCGGTAGTGTAGTACATGCGTTGAGAGGATGAAGAAGATGTGGAAGACAAAAATTGTCAGAAACAAGATAGGAATGACTGCTTACAATTACATAAACTTCAGCCCCTTTGCTTGGATCCCACTCAAATTCATAACAATTGAGCAAGTTTCCTTTACTTCTGATGTTCGAAACACCACTTGACATGGGAACATCTAAAACAATAAAAAATAGCAAAAAAAGTATAAAATTTACACATTTAGTTCTATTCAAGATGAAAACAAACAGAAATCCTTAATTAATCGGCCAACAAATATAATAAACTTCGAGTCGTAAACTGTAATTGAAATTGATTTAATCTGATTTGTGCCTATTTACAGTACAACCTAACCTAGATGTCGATGTCGACGAATGTCTTGTCTCGCTAAAAGCACTGATCAAGTTAATGTACATTAATTAGTTTCAAATGTCAATCGATTAGATCAAAGGTCCACTGTACAAAAAAAACATTACATAATGAATCGCTAAAACACGTCATTTCACGTGGGTCAGCGTGTGACATGTGCGAAGAATCTGACAACAAAAGTTAAAAATAAGAACCTATTTCCAATATTCTGTCAGCCGGCCTGTTGTTTTTCCACTCTTCATATTTTTCAGATTCTTGGACTTGAAGTTTCCTCTCATAAAAGCACAGCTTCATCACACTCTGTCAAGTTAAAGGAAGGAAAATTTCACCAACCCTTTCACTGCCAAGACCTCATTCAATTCTTCTCACTGTCTGCTATACAATCATTCTGATGTTGGTTTGGAGAATTTGGTATTAAATCAATCAATAATCCCCTTATTTATATCGTACTTAATTCTCATCACTTGTCTGCTTGATACTGTATTTCTATTGTAAGGAGAAATTCGGTCTTGATCACTCATGGAAGTAAAAGAGTTAACCCTTTATCTGTCAAGTGTGGGTTATGAGATGTCATGGACAAATATCGTTGTTTGCATGAAGTAGAGTGATCTCAGGTCAGACTTTAGCCTCATTTTCATATCTGAGGTTGTATACGAATGTGCCGAAATTTTTTCCAGACTTTGCTGCATTATTTCTCTTCAACTTGATGTTTTTTCTTCGAACCTTCGATTTAAATGTCCTCAAGGGTATTTAAACATGACGCAGGTAAAATTAACTTTAAGTTTGGAATCATATATACTTGAGTAAGTTTTCGCTCAAATTTAGTAAAACTTTCAAAGAGCGATTTCAACATGGCGACAAGGCAAGCGAGCAGAGGAAATTTCCAGAATTATTATGGACATTCCCGAGGATAGCGACATCTCTGACTTTGAGGGGGAAGAAGGAGATCACGAAAGCAGTATGGACGAGCCTTATACAGACTGCTGAATCAGACAGTTCTGTTAGTGAAATAGAACATGCAAATATTTTACCTTTATTAAAATCTTGAATTTTAAGGATTTTTTTCTTAAAATAGTCTTAAAATCTCTATAATTATTCAACTAATTTTGACAGATTAAGGGTTAAAATGTAGTCAAACTTTCAAATGCTTACACAATTTTCAATTTTAAACAAGTTAATCTTTTAACTCTCACGATTGACCTGAACAGAATTTCTCCTCACAAGATCAGTACAATACGAAGCTGACAAGTGATGAGAATAAAGAAAAATATTAATTTGGAGAAAACTAGTTAATCTAATGCCAAATTCTCCAAACTAACAGCATAAGAATATATAGCAGACAGTAAGGAGAATTCCTAACAAGATCTTGGAGTGAAAGGGTGAACACTATTACTTTAGGAGAAAATGAAACAAATACTCTCTCTAAAATCATACAGACATAAAAACTGGTTTTAACCACAATAGAGAACTTAAGTATGAATAATCTCCTTACTTTTAAATGTTTGCCCTCAAATTTCGCAGCCTCCACTGGGAGGTACATCATTTCCATCAAATACGCCTGCCCTGGAAACAAAACCAGATGATTTGTAAATTCTGAGCATAATAGACAAGCTTTTTCATTCAAGGTGCATCTATTTTGACTGACAACAGGAAAAGTGAATTCTTCTTGTAACTAGACAATATCAATATGGGGAAACATCATATATTCAGCATAATGACCATCTCCCAGTTGGCTTGTTAGCTCAATTGGCAGAGCACTGCACCCATATCGCAGAGGTCATAGGTTCAAATCCCTTACAAGCCTGAATTTTTTCCAGGCCTTATTTCCACTACTACATAAGTAGGGTTCATCACTATGAGGATTGCTTTCATACATGGGGAAACACTCTTTGTCAGTAATCATTTTCAGCATAGAAATTTCTAAAATCTGAAGAAACTACAATAACAGTCAAATAGTTGTTAGTAATTGAACTCTTTTACCCCTCATAGCGAGGAGTGTCTAACCTCTCCTTTGGATATCACCTCTGAATTACACTGAGGTCACAAGATGAATGAAGTGATCACCAACTACACAAGCTCTTGAATATTGACCAGCATCTAATTTCTCCTAACAACATCATCCCTGAACCAAACATTTAGGTCACAAATATAAAGAAAAATAATGATCACAGACTAAAAGAGCTCTTGATTGTTAAACAAACTCTCCTTGTCAGCACCTTAGGAAATGTGCTGAGAACAGTATGGAGAATATACATGCTGATCTTAGGGTTGAATACCTTGATTAAGGTAAGTTAAGGAGTCCTCTTCAAGACGCTTTGTAGGAGAAGTTGGTGCTTTCAGAATGTAAATAAATCCATAACTCAGACTGCAGGTATAAGTGAAAAATATCAAAAAAGTGAGTCAGAGGACGATGGACTTATAACAACCTGTATCACAAAGTCAACATTATTTATTGCTTTCAAAAATGAAAATCAAATCTACAGAGTAACTATGTTACTCTGTAGATTTGATTTAAATTGTAGTAACTAATTACTATATTCCTGATAACACCTGTGGAAAATATGAAGCAAATATTTTCTTCTGATTGGCTACTCAAGTGGGCAACATGGACTCATCTTGCCCTGTTTCATCCCACTCAAGAAAAAAATTGCTTGGAGTGGACCTACAAAGTTTGTAATATTTGGACAATGTTGGTGTTGGAGTTGCAAAAAGTGGCAGAAGTTAGTCAAAATAAAGTAAACACAAACAACCCTTGTGGCTTTACTGCACCAGAAACACAGTTGGTTTTCTTTCCTGGCTCTCAAAATAAAGTAGTCATCCTTAATTCTACTTTACATATTCAGAAAAATTCAGGGTTCAACAGATTTGAAAACTGTCAATAATGAAGGCATGACAGAAATCAACCAAGCTTACTTGGTACTTACCTTTTACCCTCTAAACCTCCAGCAGATGACATTGGTGATGACTGCGTTGAAGGTGACATGCCACAAGCCATGGGAGTTTCCTGCTTTGTTTGGAGGGCAGAGTCTAAAGAATTCAACTCAGCATTTACTCTAGGATAATACAAACAATAAGAACAATTCACCAAGATTATTGTTTCTTTATCATAGGGCTAAAAGTAATGTAGACAAGGTCAAAACCAAGAGCATACAACAGTTCTGCCAGAGTGATGTTGGGAGCTCCATGAATGTTTCTAGAAGGACTGTCAAGTCCTTTTCCTTAATTTACTTTGCTAGGTCATTTGCTTTGTTTCCCTCTCTGCCATTTTGGTTAACCCTTAACCCCTACGAGTGACTTGCTTTTAATTTCTCATTTCAATATAACCCTTCAATGAAATGTAAAGGTCATGAGAAAAAAGGAAATAATCATCAATTTAGGAAGCTCCTGATTTTCAAACAAGTTCTCCCTGTCATTTCCAGAGGAAATGTACAGAGAAGAGTATCGAGAATATACATGCTGATTTAAGGGTAAAAAGGGTTAATTATTATTTCCACATGCCTGGAAGTGAGACGTTGCTCAGTTACTATGGTGATCTCATTTTCAAAGATTAATGGTAGAACAAAAAATTTAAACCAGCCAAATTTTCATTCTATACAATAAGAACTCACAGTGTGATGTCTAAGAACTAAGATTTAATCAAACATTCCTAATGAGAGTGACACTGATCATGACAACTTCAAAAAGACGCACTTACTCTGTCACTGCAGAAGAAATAGAGCCAATGGTGTCCATGTTTAGGGGACCACCGGGAGGCTCATCCTTGAAAATCGGCAAGTTGAGGACATCACTTTGAACAAAAAAAAAAGGAAAGAGAGACCGATTATTTTATTATTAATTGATCCAGTTCCACATTCGACAAGAGTACCATATAACCCCATACATTAATTATGCATTCAGACTAGTAGACTTTGTTTTTAAAGTTTTGTCGTGAAAGACAAAGAAGTGGAATGCATAATTAATGTATGGGGTTATATGGTACTCTTTCCCCGCATGCTCCAAACTGCCATCATAGGGATTGTATTGCAGAAAGAAAGGAGAATTATTGATGAGATCTTGGGAGTGAAAAGTTCAAATGTTACAAGCAGCCAGCATTCTTCTGAGGTCAGCAATGGAGTCAAAGCTACTTAAATGGTTGGGAATACAAATGTTTTTTTTTTTTCCAATCTTTGCTGCTGGGAAAAATAGTCAGATTTATTTCAATCGCAAAGTCAAGCTGGGTTGTAGATTTCAAATTTGCCCAATCCCCAACCTGTCTTATCATAATTATTCAGGTACAATTAAGTCTTAACTTATACTTTGTTACATTCAAAGTTACTTGTAAATAAATTCCACCCGTGGCTTTTTCAACAAGATATAGCGACAGAAGGTTTCTTACTCGGATAGAAAAATCTAAGCTTACATTCCTAATCGACAAAAAAATAGAGGCAGTTTTCAGAGAGAGCTGTATATGGATAAGAACAAAAAAAATGTTCATTTTTTCAAGTTATGTTTTACTTGATCAGAAGGTACACAGCAGCCATTCCCTGTTAGTAATTGAAATTATTTTATTCACACCTCATGTTATATGCACCATCCGCTCCATACTCGTTGCCAAGACCAGTAAGATTCAGTAATTCTGAAGCGAGTCCACCGTCCAAACCGCCATCCATGTCGTCCATTCGCCAGCTTGTATTGCTTGCCATCTTGAGGCGATTTTTACGGCATTCGCCCTCAAGAGTACATCAGTTTGAGATCATCAATGCTATTTTACCCATTCACGTATAAGTGGACAGGATATGTTGGCGACAAATTGGATAAGAACGCTGAAAGTTTTGTAGAATGACAGTTCAACACGGATCAAAGCAACTTGCACGTGTTCTACTCAATCGTGGGGACTGGTACGAGACTAACCTCGCTTTGATGATCGTAAATCAAATAAACATAGGCATGCATAGCGTGCTACAGATATTTGAAGACATACTTGGAATTTGTCGTATTTCCTCGAATAATAGCCGTCCCTCGATTAATCGCCTCCCTAGAATAATCACCCCTCTTTGACCGAAATATTTAAAATAATCGCCTCCCTCGAATAATCGCCCCCTCCCCCTCCCCTCGCCATTTTCTCCTTCTCTTACCCCCTCCCTCTTAAGTTAAAAATTGGCATCTTGGGTAACAAACAAGCTTTTATTTATTTGCTCCGAGACCACTGAATGATTACAAAAGCACCGATTTTTTTACAGTTTTTTTATGACAACGTTCATATACTTCACTTTTTCCTTCATTGCTTGGAGCTCTCTATTTAACACATCGGATATGTTCTTGTTCCTTGTTCGCAATGAATAAATCGCTGGAACAACGAGTCGGTTTTCTAAAGTCCGCTTTCTGATAACCCGTCTACATCGCCTTCACTGCTATCTTCTGCATTCAGGAAAGTGCAAACGAGATGGGATAGTTCAATTGGTACATGCCCACTGAGAACATCAGAGCCGCCACTGCTGTCTTTTCCATCTTTATATAAACTGACCGCAAAGTCGTTATACGCTTTGGCTTCTTCTCTTTTGTCGTTCTTGCACATAAGCGATTATTTTGTGATTATTACGTGATTATTTTTTTGATTTAATGGTATAATAAAACAAAATATTTAAGGCACGACCTTCTGTGAGAAATATTTGAAATCATCGCCTCCCTCGAATAATTGCCCCCTTTTGGTGCGAAAAAAGAAATAATCGCCCCAGGCTATTATTCAAGGAAATAAGGTAGGTTAGGGTACAAATACAGCGTAACTTTTTTCTTCACTTTGCTTTGCATCTTTGCGTCCCCAGGACTTGGACTAGGTTTACACTAGAGGAAATTGTTCCGGATTCGTGATGAATCCGAAACGTTTTGGTACCGGATTTATTTTGCCATTTACATGAAAGTGGACGAATCGGAAATAAAAACTCCCTGGATTGGTCGTATCTCCGGAGATTTTGAATCTGGAATTTAAAGTGGGAACTTTGAACCCGATAACTTTTGAATTCGGAAAGCTTTGTCGTGTAACCGCTTTTTTTTCTCGAATCCGGATATTATTTCCGTCTGCAATCTTTTGAGTTTGCGGTGAAACCAAAATGGAGGATCCAGTGCTAACATTTCTGTCGATCTCCGGTTGCCTAATCTTCTTGTAGGTTCAGGCGATAAATCTTATCATGTGTACCGCAGTATTTCTGAGGAAAGACAAGTTATTATTGCGAGGAAGTTTAACGTCAGCCACACTTAATCGCCGACGACGTAGATGGCTTGGCATCTGTCCAACTCAAATTTGCCTCAGTGGCATCTGGATCTACTCTAGCCTTTTTTGGGGGAGGCATTTTCACTTTGTCGATCGAACGACAAATCAACACTGGGCTTGGTAACCATTCCATTTCGAATGTTCCCGGAGTTGTCGTTGTGTGTAAAGGGTCAGGAATCCGAATATCCTTTCAGTGTAAACGCCTACGAATCCGAATACTCCAAAATTGATGAATCCGGAAACATTTACGAATCCGGAAAACTCTCCTCTAGTGTAAACCTAGTCTTGGTATCATCTGTTTTCCACATACTCGTGTAATTCTCAGCAACTAACATATCCGCAAACAGTAACTACGAATAGCTTGAGCCTTGAATATTAATTGGTCGAAAAAAATTATTCTCAGCCAGACACCAAACTACATTTTTCTACTTATACAGGCAGAGAAAGCCTGAAACTAACGTTCAGTTTTTGCCTGGAAGGAGGTATTCCAAATAAAAACATCACAGAGCCTGAGAGGAAAACAATTATTGCCACAACAATAAAAAGGAAGTATTGTTATTTCATTGGGTATGCGTTCTCCTGGGCGCTGGTCTTTCAAGTTTTGTTTTAGACTCTTCACACTTTTACCCAAGCAATTTCATCCTACAGTTTGATTGGGCTTTTATCTTCATGATTGCCGGTTTAACTGTACTGTTGGTGTATAATGGCATTAGGCAGAATCGTTGTCTTTTACCCAGTTGGCGCCTCGAACTTATTCCCGCCTGTTTTTTATTTATTTCATTGTCCCTCTTTTTCCTTTTAACTAATTTGGTTCGCTGTTTACATGTAACTCCGTTTCTGGGCTTAGCGAACTACTCCAAAAGTTTTTCTTCGGTTCTTGATCATTTGGTAGCTTGTGATGGTTTATTAGGCTTTTCATAAGTTAAAGAGCCACAAAGGAGAATGCCTAAACGATTGTAATGTGTTTATGACGATGTTTCGTGGCCTGGTATAAGTAGTATCCTGAGCTCTTTTTATTTTTTTCTTGTTCACTGATCTGCCACAGGTGATTCTGTATACCTGCATTTTTTTTTTAGTATTGTAGCTGTCCTAGCTAAATTGAGGCCCTTAAAAAAGCTGTCTTGTTGCTTTGAATGTGAGCGTAATTTCCTAACTACCACGAAAATCGGACAATAGTGCCAAAAATTGGACACTAGTGTCTAAAGTCTTACAAAAGTGCCTAAAATCGGAGACTAGTGTCTAAAAAAGGACATAAGTGTTCAAAATCCGACACTGGTGTCTGAAATTGGATTGGGACACTAGAAACACTAGTGACTAAAATCGGACACTTGACACCAAATTCAGACACCAGTGTCCACAATTGGATACTATATGTTTAAAATCAATCTCAACTGTCTCAAATTGGACAATATTGTTGGTACAGAGGTACATAAGTTGACGGCTGAGGTTACGGCACAAATACGCCACGACTGAATTCTCTCATTTTTATGTATTTTCCAACTGTTTTCCGGTCATCGTAAATCAAGATTGTTTGAGTCAAGAATGTCTCTTGGAGTAACCCTGAATTATCTAAAAAGACTGCTCATGGATGGAAGAAAGAGGTCGAGACCATTAAGTCACGGCTGGGTTACTCTTTGGAATGAGCAATTTAATGAGTTCGTACTGACTCTTGTATGCATGCGGAGAAGTTAAATAAGCTATGGCTTTTGAAGCATACTGTTTTCCTCTAACATCCTGTTGGTGTTGAATTCAAACTCAGAACATTCAAATCTCAGGAAAACTCGCAAATTTGGCATTATGCTATTCTTAAGTTTTGCTATAGAATCAGAGCTTCTGCTTTTGGCTTCTCTCGAGGGCAAAAAGATGTTTTATTACTTACTTTTAAAGTGGATTCAACTAGTGCAGCTTCACCTTGAATATTTATTAAAGAAATATGTAAAACAAGACAGTAATTTATCATCTATTATGACAACACTATTGTCTTTCCGATTCGAAATGTCATGTTAAGAATCATTTGGGCATAAAGACACAGACCCATTGTTCAGCTACACGTGGAACGAGAAAGGGCGCTGCCTAAAGAAAGCAACACAAGCTTTGCTTTTAAAGATGTTTTCAATATTTTTATATGCATTTCTTCTCCTGGCTTGGTGCCCCTCAGCCTGTGGACATCCTCAAGCAAAATGTTCGTCTGGCATGACTGTTTCAAGCGTCCAGAGTGAAGTGATAGCGATCACTGGCGAGCTATCTACCGACAGCTATCTGCAGCTATATTGCGTTTTGAAGCTAGATAAACCCGGGAGCTTATTACAAATGAAAACTAAAAGGAATGACAACAAAAAAGGTGAGAGCATAGCCAGTTTGATAGAGTGGTCTCTCTTACCTTTAGGATAGTGAATTTTGGATTTAACGATTTCTCTTTCGATATTTATTTAATTCCTTGATTATTCTTTAGTAATGCGGAAGCGTTTTCGAAATTAGCAAAAGTGATAACCTTTAATTATCCGTTAAGGACTTGGCGGCTTTTCCTGAAACCATTCACTGATTGCAAAAATCAGCCGATCCTTTCTTTCGAGACTTATGTCTAAACTTATATTAAATCGCCACTCATGCATTCTTCGGGGGAGTAGTTACTTACGAAGGATCTTTATTTCCGAAAATTACGGTTAAAAGAACAGCCATCTCTAAACTTCGAGTTATTTCAGGATACATAGTGTCCTTGTAAGAGCAAACGTAAACTAGCGTTCCTGAAAGGTATTCGAACTTGAAACACATCAGCCCAGCTTCTGCTGGCTTCATTACTGCATACTTCTTGTATTTAGTTTCGTTTGACTAATTAGTTTTTGAGTGCGCATTGGGCCATCTATGGTCCAGTGAACATTCGAGTATGCCGCTGCAAAGGAATGGAATGACCTCCCCAAAGAACTGTGTGCTTGCGAAACGCTGAGAATTTTTAAAACTAAAACTTTTAATCTTTTAATAGAATCTAATGAGGTACAACCTGAACGCAAATGTAGTATATAAGTTTTTATCACTGTAAATATTGTTTTGGTAATTTTTAATTCAATCTTAACTTGTATCGAGGGCAAATTGCATTGTATTTTCAGTAATAGAATTTTATGTATTGATCACTAGTTTTATACCAGTTTTTTTTTATGTTGAATTCGCTGATTTATTTTTTTTTCAGTTTAAATAAGGCATTAATTAAAAAAAAATAAGGTCAGATTTTGGCTCTGATTTGTAGAACTTGGATGTGATTTATGAAAAGAAAAATACTTGTATTGATAACAGCGCCTAGAAGATCCTTAATCCTTAATCAATCCTTTTTTTCAGACTTGATTTTCTATAATGATCCCTTTCGGCGAAATCTGCCGCGCGAGTAAAAAGTGATCTATGAAAAAATAAATTGGCGTCAGCGCGCCACGGGAAGCTCTAATTTTGACTTATTCGCTGCGGGAGCTCAATGAGTCAGGCACTCGAAAAGTTGCTTTCTAGGTTTTGGAGCCCTTGACCCATGGAGCTCTCGCGGCGCATAAGTCAAAATTAGAGCTTGCGCACTTATGTCAATTTTTTTCGTGGATTCTTTTTTTCGACTCGCGCGGCAGATTTCGCTAAAAGGAGGGACTGTTATTAGTCTAAACAATGACCTAAGATGCAGTTATCCTGTGAAGATACATTCGTGTGAGCTCAATTAATGTTTCTCTTGAATTAAAATATAGAACACAATGTCTTTAGCAAGAGGCCCAGTTTTATCAAGAAATTAGCACGCAAGCGAGCCAGTAGAGTGAACACTCTCCACTACACTTGTAGGCTATTGCGAAATCTCATAATCATATATTTTTAATTAGTAGTTGTTGTTGTATTCTTGTGCCGAATTATCCTTTCTATCTTTAGGTTTCTTGCACATTTCTTTGTACCAGCAAGGCGAGTCGTCTCTACTTGGTCATTTGGACGTTTCAGAGCCAACATCAGTTTGGAACACTGTAAACATTTGTCCCACCGGTTTAAACAATAATCAAACCACGAATGCAATGTTGTTATCAGTGGTGGGAAAAGGCAGAGGGCTTTCCTTTACAGTGCAAATAGCCGAACATGTATCCGAAATTGCGCTGGATAAACCACACCCAGTTGATGTCCAGCGAGACAAGGTGAGCGTGTTCCAATTCATTCCATCTCAAGATATTTCTGATAAACAACTGGACATAACTGTCACGTCTCAATCCAAAGTTGCTGCCTATTTAAAAGTATCGCAGAACTGCAAAGAAGTCGATCTCCAGAAAGACCTCGAGAGCATAGATTACAAGAAAGAATGTCTTCGACTTTCCTTCGCAACGAAAGGACGGATTACTTTATCCAGATTTTCCGCTCCCCCTTTGAACGATTCTGTCTCAAGATGGTTCATTGGAATTGGTCTTAAGAACTTAGGTAACGTCAAGTTTAATGAATCAAAACATGTCACATTAACGTTGACAAGATCGTACGATTATAATTATGTCACACCCATTTGTGGCCTAATTTTGTTATCACTTTTTGGTGGCATTCTGGTGTCAATCATAGCATTATGGCTTTTTGAGGAATCCCTCACAAAGTTTGGCGGTGAGGACAATAGATCTAGAGAACTTCGGGAGTTGCCATCGGGTAATCAAGACAGTAACCGTAACGATACAAGTAATAAACTAAAATGGTATCAAAAATGGAGAAAATGTATTTCAGACATGTTAACAGTGGCAAAAGATCATTGGTTTTGTCACGGTCCAAAAACCTTCTCCTATATCACAGGTATTGTGGGAAGCGTTTTAATGGTCGGATCATTCCAGTTTGTCTTTGCAAACTGGCGTATGATGATTCGGGAGGGTGACAGAGATAATTGTTACTACAACGACTTTTGCTATCGAGTTATCGATCATGACATTCCATTTAACTTAATGATAAGTAACTTAGGTTACATAATTCATGGTTTTATCTTAACTATTTGCGTATTGAGGTTGGAAACAAAGCTGTACCTTCAAATTCTGGAGAAATTTAGCGGGACTGCCGAAGAAATGAAAAAGAGGTACTGCTTTTCCATCGGGTATGCGTTTTCCTGGGGACTAATCTTCGAGGGATTGTTTTCAACTCTTTACCACTTCTGTCCAAGCAGGTTGACATTTCAGTTCGATTCGGCCTTCATGTTTATCATAGCTGGTTTAACTATACTGTTGCTGTATAATTGCTTTGAAAATGTAAACTACCCAGTTAGCGCCTCGAACTTCTTCCTTTTTTTCATTGTGCCTCTTTTTATTTTTAACTACTTTGGTGCGCTCTATAACTCCCATTCTGAGCTCAACAAAGTGCATCAGGGTTTATTTTTCGGTCTCCTGATCATTTGGTGGCTTATGATGGTTTATTGGGCTTTTTATAAATTAAATATCAATGACCAGATTAAATTTTGCAGTACTGATTCATGTGAAAGTATATGTAATACTTTTTTATTCATTTTGGGTGGCCTGCTAGTACCCTGTGGGCTTTTTATGATTTTCTTGTTACGCGATCTGGCTCAAGTGTTTCTGTTTGCATGCATTGCCTGCAGCGTCGTTGCAATCCTAGCTAAAGCTAGGCTTTGGGAGAAGCTTCCTGCTTTGGGAGGCCTCTGCAATGAATGTTGCTGCGAACACGAGTGTAATTGCTCCCTCAAGGAAACTTGTCGGAGGCTTTTTATCTTATTCACCTTCATAACCTTAATAGCAGCTTTTAGCGTTTTCAAATTCCTACCCACCACAAACAAGACATCGTTGCCAGAAAACTCTCGTGACATGAACGAAGAGTGTGCCATTCTAGGATTTTTCGACTGGCACGCCCTTTGGCATCTTTTGTCCTCCTTTGCACTCCTCATGGGTGCATTTGTTGTCATGTTTATAAGTTCTGAATCTTAAGCCACGAAACCGGAATTGGAAGGAAATTAATTTTCGTTAGAACCTCAAAAGTAGTCCGGAATTACTTTGCTTTCTTAACTTCTGTCGGTCTGTAATTGGCTCAGAAAATTCACGTCATCCTCTTCACCCAATCAGATGCAAAACGAAACCTATCCATAATTTGGTAGCCCGCGGTTGGTAGTTTGCCTGGTTCAATTTGAGTTTTTATTGGCTGTTGATGATGTTAACCACTTTTATGATTGGCTGTTGTGATTCCCTGGTTTTGGTGTGATATTTTTGACATTCAATCGAAAACTGTTCCAACAGAGGAAGTGATGAAGGGGGGAGGGGCGGGGCTGGGGTTTCTAGATAAGAAGAGATTGCCTTTAAAGCTCTCATCTGCCGGCCTCTCTCATATCTTCCCAAGACCAATACTTTTATCGGGTGATTCATTGATTGTAAATTTAGCTAGCATTATAACCAGCTGGAGTTTGTTAACTAATTAAACTGTATTAGTATTTTTATATTAAAAAAAATTTTAGCATAAAGCTGTAATGGACATTCGTAGTTGCCATGAATTTAGATCGGAAATCTTTTTCACTTTTTAGATTTTTTGTTTTCTTATTTCAAAATTGGTAAGCATATTTCACAAGTTGGAATTTGCCGCACGCATTTTGGATCAACTGAGTCAATTCATTTCATGCTATTTTATTAAATCAGAGTGCAACATGATCTAGATAGCGAAAATGGAAAATTTAAGAAAATTTAAGAAAAATTTAAGAAAAGACGCAATCGAAAACTGCGGTAACTTTCTATCGCTAACTTCTTGTGAAATATTGGCCAGTAGCGGATCTAGGGGAGGGGCCCAGGGAGTCCGGCCCTCCCCTCCTCATTTTGAGTAAAAAAAATTAACGCAGAGGGAAGAAAAGCCGGCAGCTGTACACACACACAGGTATGAATACGCCACTGTTGGCCACCAATAGAATGTAAAATATAATCGTCCGGAAAGTTCTTATCTAGGTAATAGTACTAGGTTACAAGTTTACTGTTGGCCACCTATAGAAAGTAAAACATAATCGTACGGGAAGTTCTTATCTAGGTAACAGTACTATAGGATACAAGTTTACTATTGGCCTCCTATAGAAAGTAAAATATAATCGTCCGGGAAGTTCTTATCTAGGTCATAGTGTTACGATACAAGTTTACGGTAGTATTATGTCAGTTTGACAATACTTTAGTAGTTATTCCCTTTTAAAAGAAGTACAATAAAGCATTCTGGAACATAAAGTGTGCTGTGTTGTGTATTCGTTAGAGATGAGTGCTGACAGTGAATGATGACTAACACATCTGTGATATTTAGATGTATGGCAATAAAAACCTTCGATGTTCTTTGATTTCAATACGTTAATCCACACACTATCCACATGGCGGCCTACGAGTACCACAACAACAACTTTCGCTAGGCATCACGGGATGCCTACAAACACAACCTTTTAACACCGTTACGGTTATAAAAGCTTACGTTTCGAGCGTTAGCCCTTCGTCGGAGCGCCTTCGCAACGGTGGCCAATTTACATTTCAACTTTGTTGATATATTCAAATTATGTTGTTACCCCCACCGACGCAGCGCCAAACAGTTTCTTTAGAAACTATCAGCCTTTACAACCTTTTAACACTTCCAGTACAATACGCTACAACATCTGCTTTATGATTGTACCTCAGCTTTACTTTCCTTCGCTCTATGATTGGCTTCGCAATCTCCCGCCACACTATCGACCACCACTCAGAGTCAAAACTAATGACTAGTTGTGACTTGGTCACCCGCGTTTTCCCGCGCTTCAAACAGTGTGCCTGTTAGCACTCTGGAGTCCTATTAGCTACGGTTTTATTTTCTTGAGTTCTGATTGGCCGTTGAGGTTGCAAAACCTTTTGGGATTTTACGATACTGAGTTAAACCGCTCTCTGTGAAGACCCTGAACACAAAAAAAATAAAGTTTTATTCGCACAAGCTATTAGTCCTTGGCAGAATTTCGAAATGTGGATCAAAATTTCGGTCACACTTCACATCTATACGCTACAATTAAGACTGTTATCCATACGCCACGATCAAAAACTGATAGCTTAAATTGCAAGATACTTTCCGATTGTCACAAGGAAGTCTGTTCTTTCAGCCACGAATACAAATCAAATAACTAAGTTAAACCAAAAAGCATCACAGTTTCTTAGCCTATGAGTGCCTCTCTTTCTTCGGGAGAGGGTTTGTTCTCTGAGTGTTGGTCAATCTCTTGTCGAAGAGTGAGAAGACTTGTACGGTCCAGTTCTTGTACCAAAGTAAGAACTGCTGATAAAATATTCTGATTCTGTGAGAAAAACACGGGTTGAGCTTGAACAAGACGTTTGATTTGGGAGGCTTACTGTGCGTTTACTGAAACCAGAGCCACCTGACACACAACCAAACCCAATCTGAGGGCACAATAGAAAGCGTAGATTCAAATCCGTGTTGATTCTTTCCTAACCAATGTCGGTTACAAGACACGGAAATGTCAATATTTTTGCTCTCTTCGTGGCCAAGGTTTCAGCAGAAGAATTGTAAATGTGGTTGGGTGCTGTTTGGATCTCGCAGAATTCCATGATCAATTCAGGAACTGTTGTTATGTTTTCTGTGATTAAAAAGAGCACGAACTGTCCAGGAAACAAAAGTAGATTTTGGTTCTGATATAGAACTTTCTTAATTTCTCCTCAGTGTAGCTCATTTGGTAACAGCCTTAAAGCCTCGGAGATTAATTCGTCATTTGCTAACTTGATTTTAGCTTGAATTACGGGGCAAGGGTCTTCCCTAAATTCCCCACTGTGTAAAGATATTAAGAGAACTGCGAGAGTGAACGTCTATTTTGAATTTAAAACACAACTTCAAGTGTGTCTCCAGAAAGCAGCTCAGCTTGTTCAGAGACCAGCACGCAAACAGTAGTAGTAGAGTACGACACTATCCCTACATTGAAGGTATCACAAATATGGTAGATATCCAGGAAAACTTAGAAGTTGTTGATTACTAAAAATGAATCGCTCCTACTTTCCTTTGTCACAAAAGGACGGATTACCTTGTCAGAGCTTCCGTTCTCCGGTTGACCGATTCCGTCTACAGATGGTTCCTTGGAATTGGTCTGAAGAACTTATTAGGTGACATCAAACTCAGTGAAATCTCACTTTGAAGCTGACAAGGTCGTTCGATTATAATTATACCAAACCGATTTCTGCCCTATGCTATTTCTTGCATAACTTCTGGTTGTTGTAGTAGTGTGTATCATCGCATACAGTTTTCTTTTCAAAGAGTCTCTCGCAGAGTTAAAAGTTGATGGTGCATCTTTAGTAGCCAACACGGTTAGTGCCGTGGATACACAACTCCAGATTCTTCCACCAGGTGATCAGCTCAATAATAATTGTTACACTGTTCCATAATCAGTATTGCCCTGTAATTATTTGGAACGCTGTTCCGCCATTCCATCGTTTCATTTCATCGGGATCACCCTGGAACTGAAGGTAAATTTCGCAGCTTGATCGCTCCGCAACTTAAGCGGTTCTCTCGAGCATAATTTGCTGATCCAAACGGTAAAATGCTTTCTCTTCGAATAACAAAAAGTTCCTCAAAGCTTCCACGATTTGCAGGTTATATCTATTCAGTAATTCTGAAAGGAAAAGGTTTTTTTTCCAATTACACGCCGAAATTATTTTGATATGTTTATCAGTTTCTTAGTATCACGGCAAGAACTGAAAAACTTAGAACTTCGGATCTACTTGGAACAATTACCAGATTCAAAAGGTAAACTGCTTTCTGTTCAAAGAAAAAAATATCTTCTACTGAGTTTTCACGATGTGCCGATCACATCTTTTAGATATTTCTGTTAGGAAAAATTTTGTTTTTTGATCAAGTGCCATCCTGAAATGATTGGCAGACGTTTATCGCCTTTTGTAGTGTCACTGCAAGAACTGAAAAAATGACATTTTGGGTTGTTTTAGCACTAAACAATTATTTTTCTTGCGCGAATATCGACCGGCGAGGACAATCCGGAAAAAACAAAAGATGACATTGGGTCAAAATCGAGTGAAGTTCGATATTGTAATGTTACCATCACTCACTCATTTCGATAACATATGTGGTTTCGTCTCTTAGAAGAAGCCACCAGTAGCCACAAAATCATAGTCAGAGAAAAGCTATGTACAACAGAATTTTAAACCATGGAAAGATCCGTTCGGCCTCACTATATGTTGAAAAGCAGTGCGTCAAACCCAACAAGACACAGGCCTTCCAAACGCCTTGTTTGTCAAATGACGATGTGACCTTTTACTGCATGTCTCGTTCCAGTCCTTTTGGTACTATGTCCGCGTATGTATTTTGTACGTACAGTGTGTACTTTGGTACGTATGTCCATTATTTTCTATCAAAAGTGTTATGATGAGGATCATTAGTACGATTTAAAATAAAGTCTGGATATAACGCACGTTCTGATTGGTTGAAAGAGTGTGTTTTATCAGAACACAAAACAAATAAAGAAGCATTGACTGTGCTCCCTTATGCTGTAAAGCACCTAGCAAGCGGCTGAAGCACTCGAGAAGTACGGCGAGACACTACTACGTCTCGTTTTTTTTTCCTTACGTATTCTTTCGTGCTCTAGCCACTTCCTACGTAAATTACAACAGACCAGAGTATACTTCAAGGCTACTTTATTTCTCTGTTAACACGCAAATCACGCGCGATGCTCTTCTAGAAAATTCGCTAAATGCCATGATAGATTATAATTAATCAAACCAACCGATCGATTTAATGAACATGTCGTTCTTAAAATACAGAAGACAAATCGACAAAATTACCTTTTGTTTAATTTTCAATTCAACGAGTCGTTTCCGCGAACGAAAACTATGTTTAAATTAATTAGTTAGTCTGAACAAAATGAGCTGAATCAAGGCCAGAACTTAGGGAAAGATTCGCGCGGACGGGCTGAGCCTAGCCTGGATTGTGAGGGATGGTTCTCACTGATTCCGGCGATCATCGCATCCAAATGGCTGTAATTTTATACAACTACTGACTGGGAGCTTTTTGCATCTCCGAGAGAGGGAAGAGTGGTTGGAGTGCTCGTCTTGCATCAGCAAGGCATTGTCGATGACATAATTCTCCTCTTTTCGGCTGCTGGAGTCTTAATCATAAATAGCGGCTTGTGGTCCTCACTCGGAGCCATGATTTTGATGTTGAATTTGGATTTCCAGAGTTCTTGTATTTCTTACACACCGTTTATCTGACACCAAAATAATTTTTTTTTGTCCCGAAGAATCTTCGGGGAGTTTTGTAAGAGGAGAGTTCACGGTAACATTCTGTTTTTTTCTGTATAGATATATTTTTTCGGATGAGTGCCACAGTGTACGTCTGGCACTTTGCGATCGTAGCTTTTAAGTTTTTTATTTTTGTCTTTTCTGTTCGCCCACCATTCAAAAATTCTGGTCCAGATTTACGATCTCTTTTTTTTATTTTAACAGTATTACTATTTTCATTTCTTCGCATAAATTTGTACATCAATTTCCCCCTTGGCTCCAACATGAAGGGCTGCCTATTTAGAAAAAAAGCTATAATCGGATCTCAACAACATCAACACTTCATTGCTAAGCAACTTTTCACCAATCAGGAGCAAGTAATCCTGCCCTCTTGACAACCGAAACCATTCTTGGGATAAAAAAAAAATAAGAAAACCGCTGTCTCAGCCAATCAGCATTTAGTAAATTTGCCTTCTATGATACAGAGGCATAAAGAAACGGTTTATTCGTTAGCAACATAGCAAACCAGAAAGGGCGCTGTCTAAATATACAGCAACACTAGAATTGCTTTTCAATAATGTTTTCAATCCTTTTATATGCATTCCTACTCCAACTCGCTTGGTGCCCCTCAGCCTGCGGACACCTTCAAGCAATTTGTTCGTCCGACATGACTGTAAATTCAAATGTCCATAGTGATGTAATAGAGATCACTGGAAAATTCTCCGCCGAAATTTATATAATACGTAGTTGCACTTTGAAGCTGGACAAACCTAGGAGCTTTTTGCGTATAAGAACTATTAGGATGGACAACAACAAAGGTGAGGGCATCAGGCTATTTTTGTAGAGAGATCTGACTTACACTTAGAATGACGAATTTTGGTTCAAATGAAGGTACAAAGTCGCATTCCTTTTCTATCCTTTAAGCTTGTAATCCAAGAGTGTTTTCGAAATTACCCAAAATTTCCTGGTTAATTCAGGTCCGCTTTGCAGCTTTTACTGTGGCCGCTCTCTGCTTGGACAGACAATTATGTGGGTATCAGAGTCCTTACTTTTGAGATTTTTAATTTAAACTTATAGAGAATCGCCGCATTTCTCGCGATGGTCGCCGCTTTCGAAGGTCATTAGTTCCGAAACTTACTGTTAAACCCGAGCAAAATTATCGCAACATTCAACCAATCTACAGACAGCTACAGCCAGCTGCTGCCGTTTTGCAGTGCACTGTATAAATGGGACATGAAGTCGGGTTCTGAACACCGCAAAACCGCAAAAACATTCAGCAAATATCGCAATATCGCGAAAGAAATCTTCTCCTATG